GGCTTTTTTCATCTGCTGCACTAAGTTTTCTGGTTGACCACTGCCTCTTTGATCCTCGTTTCTTTGTGCTTTTCAAAAGAGCTTAGATGACACAACTTGAAACTCTTGAAACAGTCTTTTTTTTTTTTTAAATCTTTGTCTGGGAGAGACCTCTTTCTTTGCTCTGTCTTGCCTTGGTCATGTTTTCCTTTTTCTCATTACTGTTTTTTTTTAAACTGTAAATATGTTTTTTAAACATTTATAAATATGTTATGAATAAAATCTATTATAATTTATAGGGGTGTGTACTGGCAAGAATCTGGCAATATGATACGTATCGCGATACAGGGCAACAATAGAATGTACTGCAATATACTAAGCATAACAATATATTGTTTTTTTTAAACAATTTGTTTGTTGGAGATCTGTCAGCATAATAATCACACTATGCTGAACATCATGTTACTACAACTGGAACAGAGGTGTCTACATTTGTTCTCACTAGAGAAGAAATAAAAGGAAAATAACATGAACCAACAGCACAAATATTTGCATGTTAATTGTTATTAATATTGATACAGTACTGTAAAATATCAGTACAATAGCAGGAAATGAAATATAGCAATATTTCTGTGCATCAATATTTCCTTACACCCCTGATAATTAATAACATTTAACATTCAAAACCAGCTCTGAACTTTGACTTTTATGTGTATTCACTAAACTGTTGCCTATTTATGTCTGCTTTTGGCTATTGTCTCAGATTTGAAGAAAAACACCTGAGCTGCAGTGTCTCCTGAAGCATTTGTTAAGTATAGACCGATTTTAAAAAATGATGCATGCACACTTTTGTCAAACATAGCATCAAGTTCAGAGCCCAGCTTAAAGGTTTGGAAGATGAATGAAGTCATCAACCATCACCATCATGCACATTTTGGCTCTGTCTCTCTCAGAAAAATGAAAAGGACAGAAAAGGAGAGTTAAAGGTTATGAATCAGACAGGGGAATATAGAACACATCAGAATTAGGAAAGTTTGTCTGTGCCCTTGTCAGGATGAGTGATTAAGATATCTAATATGACGTTCAAAGCTGTAGAGCTAGCAAACCGGTAACGGCTCAATAGCACTTTTTTCTTACTCATCCTAGCGCGCTAATTAGCGTCTAGCTCTTTTTTAAAGGAGGGGGTTATTTATTTAAAAGGCTTGGAAGGATATAAAGGCACCTGCATCAATCATAATTACTTTGTTCATATTAAAATTAGCGAGAGAGAGAGAGAGAGAGAGAGAGAGAGGAAGAACACAGTCTCCTTCAGAGAGAAACAGGAGAATAAACGGGGCCTCAGGTGGACGAGAGAAAGTTACTTTGTGTGTGTGTCTGCGTACGTGTGTGTGCGTGGAAGAGCAAGGGAAAAGGGGTTGAGGTAAATCAATAAGTATCACTCCGGCTGATTGGACCTAATTAGAGACATGGAGAGGCATTCTGGACGAGCCGGCTGGAACTGGGTTGGCCAAGTTGTCAAAGCCATTTTAGACATTGACTTATTGCAGCAGAGAGAAAACACTGAGATTAGATGTAACGCCTGTGGGTGAGAGAGTGTTTCTGAGCGTGTCACAATGATGACTGTGTTCTAAGAAAAATACGGCCAGGTGAGCGTAACTGTTCCTCTGCCGCGTGATAAACTGGGATACAACAGCAATGATAATCACACCGAGCTTATCATGCACATACGTTGCAAATGGCAAACAACATTCTTCATCACACAGCACCACAGCTGTCAGCTGCTGGCTGTGCAGCTGCAGAGGTCTCCCAAACAAACATTTAACAAAATGTCTGACTTATTGGGGGTTTAACTTGGGTTTTTATTTCTTCTCTTGCGTTTTTGCGGCTGCATCTGCGCGTGAATATGTGCCAACATTTTAATTGTTGTGATTGTGGTTGGGAATAATCACTTGTGAAAAGCTTATGTAATGACAGTGTGTGCCCAGAGGATGTGTTCCTGCAGACCTAAAGAGCTAATCACTTGTGGAGGATGTGTTCCTGCAGACCTAAAGAGAGGAACAAAGATTGACTCACGTCAGTGTCACATTGTTTAGAGGTTGGTTTCAGGTAAACGTGTCTCTGTTTCCCAGTTTGACACAGGGAGTGGAATCTAGTTTTCATAGAATGGCTACTCAGAAAGTTCATTTTGCAATTTTACTAAAATCACAGATCTCAGACAGTTGCCACCAGGTTAAAAACAGTTAACAGTTATAACAGTTAATATTTTCTCGTGTAATATCTGTGGTTTTCACATTTTCAATAGTTTTCAAATAAGCTACTTTTTAATTCTTATGTAATCTCCCATTCTGTCCTTTTTTTATCTTATCTTTGTTAAACCTATGATTCTGAGAATTTTATAGAAAATGTTTAAGTGAAATCAAATGTTGTATTCAGGCACATATTTTTATTCTTTGTCATACGACCAACAATTCTTTTAAAGCCTTGACCCATGAACCTTTTTAAATCAGGTAGTTTGAAGCCTTATTGCATTAGGAATACATTCAGCATTAGCAAAAATTAACACTTACAATGTCATCAATTGCTTCATACATTTGAAAGGAGAATTAAGGACATGTATAATTTGAGTATATCATATCAGAAGCGTATCCTGGAAGTTCCGCATATGGGATGGATTTCTGGTTTGCAGGAGTTTTTCAGCCGTAACCCGGTGTGTCTTCTGTCTGGAGGAGCAGAGTCTAGGATCTTAGAGTAAAAGTATAAGAGGAACGTTAAGGCGTCAGTACAGAAACAGAGAAAAGGCAGAATAAAAGTGACTGTGATGCTTTCAGAGGCAACACAGACAAACCTTTATTGTGAAAGTTTGGAGAAGTTTGTGTCTTCACAAACGTCTGCATCGTGTTTTTAACTTTTTTGTTAGCTGAGGTAAAGTGGACACACTGGTTTTATTTACATATTTATCTTTTATATAAAGTTGAATCTTTCTCTACATATTGTTTACAATGATGCAGAGTGAATTGTAACTGTTGAAAACTTAAATAAAAAAAACAGATTTCAAACATTTTTAATTAACAGCATCAGTCTAATATGATGTTTGTTTGATTTTCTTTGGTTTTTGGCCCAGGGTTGATAGAAATGTTTTAGATTTGTAAGTGTGTGATTTGCACGGGTAAGCTTTACCTTTAGAAAATAAACCCAAGAATGACAAAGTAGAAAAGACTGTAGTGACTCAGGAGGGACTTGACATCCAGACACAGCCCTGCATGTTTACTTCAGCATATCATGTATATATATATTTATGACACACACATGCACTGATAAATACAAAACACACATGATATAAGAATGAGAGGCATAGGCAGAGAACACGGAGCACAGAAAATGACCACACACTTGTGGACAATGTTAGTACAAACCTAAACAAGGTAAATTATTTAATTTAACATTTCAGGGCCCGTGTGATCCACTTCATTTGTAATAACAGGCCCACAGGGACTGTTAGAACAAAATGTATCTTTCCTCAATAATTACTTCTATTTACATGCCCTGAACTAATCTTCTTTTAGTTCTTTTTTCTTTTCAATTATTTTGATATGAAATTATTCTCTAAATTAATATACAGAGAACTAAAGGGATTCGACGTAATTTTTTTGATAGTAGTTATGAAAGAGCGCTTTTATGGCTTGCTTAAATAATTATGTAGTGCAGTTGGAAGAGAAACACTGCCCTCTTTAGGCTAATTCAAGTAAAAAGTAAAAGGGGATTTATTTTACCACCCTGGATTATGTTTTATGTTCTGCTTCATTTTCGCTGCATTTCTTTAACGTTCGTTCGCTAACAGTAACATATTTGCTAATGACTAGGCACTATAGACATGTTTCTGCTAAACCTACTTTTTAAATGGTTATGTTTTCCATACTTGTTTCTCAAAACAAGTATGGAAAAAAGTATGGAAAAACAAGTTCTCTTGTTGTTTTCGTTCCTTTTCTTTTGGATAAACAACTGGTCTCTGGCGCCCCCTGTTAGTGCAGATGTTGACATTGCTGCCTTTTACTAACCATTCATCATCTACCGCTTATTCTATTGCCGGGTCGCCTATTCTGTTGTCTCTGTCTGAGTAAATTGCTTTTTCGTAACATTCATAGCAATCTCTATTTCAAATACCAAAATAGAAAAGAGGAGACGCTGGTGAATTCTTCATCCCACACTTATTCAGATGAACTGTAAACTCAGCTTCTTCACTGCCAAATGCTGTGAAAACAAATATGTTTGAGGAGTGAGATTGAGTTTGTCCTGCTGATAATTTTGTTTTTGTAAAATGCATCAAGTACTTAATTATTTTGAATTTTTAAAATAGCATTAAAAAACCCTCAAACTAAAACATGTTTGTAATCACAACGGTCCCCCTGCTGGAGTATAGATTATAAACCACATGTGAGTTAGAAAACTGTCTTTTGGCATGTATTCAAAAAATGTAAATTGAAGTAAACCATGTTTGATTACTTGGATTTGTCCACTCCCAAAAATCTTTTTTTGCGGTTGTCACGAACATTTTTGTTTCTCAGTTGTGAATGATAGAAAAATGGTGCTTGTGCATTTTTATATGGAGCTTCCAATAGTCATTTAGAGTAATATAGGGTAGTAACAATATTTTATTATTGTACAAAAATGTCTTTAATTCTGTGTGAGAAAATTTCACAGTAAGGCAAAGCTTCAGGGAACGTACTACAATTTATCTTTTCAATAATAATTTTTATTTCTAAAAGAAGGTAAAGCTTTCTTTTTAAACAGATTCTTATGGTTTGTCAGGAAAAACTTGTGTCTTTTTCAATAATTTTATTAAACTAAAGATTATTAAAGGTAATTATAAATTAACATTTGCTGATGTGTAACAGAAACAGAAATCGAGAAAAAAAATTGATCAGTGTGGTACAAAGTATTTGAGATGGAAACCTGTGAAAGAACAAGTGGGCGGATTGTGGCCCAGAAGTAAATATTAAAAACCAAAGCAAAGCTGAAACAGATCTGTTTTTATATCATGGTTTACTTTATTCTAAAAGAAACAGACTGGTTAATTTTAAATAAGATGGTACACAACATAAACAGGGTCAATATTAGAGACAAAAACCTGTGGAAAAAATACAATTAGAAGGCTACTGTATTTAGCACACGGGTGTTCTTTAGTACAGAAGACGGAACAGTACAGTTTATCGGTTGGAGTCAGAAATACAACGACTCCAACATTCACACCAAATCATAAGGCAGGTGACTAAACAACGTGAATGTGCCCAATATATCCTGAATCCAGGCTAGCAGTGCATAGGATGTATGTCTGTGTTCATTAATAACTGGCACTGTATAGTATAGCTTTAATACAGAATCAAATCTAAAAAATAACAATTGAAGAAAAAGAAAATAAAGAGTGTAGACGTGTGTGTGGATGGACAGAATGAGAGACTACGAAGAACTCATGTGGTCAAAAACATACATGTGTTACAAGATTCGGTAGTGAATCATTGTTTATGTAGTGAAAAACAAAAAAAAACATTTACATTAGGTGGTATATACACTTGGGCATTTTAACATATTATAGAAAACATACCCTGAATGACTGTCTCTCCTAAAGTCAGCAAAACAGACAAGATGCAGATGTCAGCATTCTAACATTATATTTAATCTAATTTATATTATTTCAGGACTATGTTGCTGCAATATAGTTGAACGATTGCTGTTCATAAATCCCATCTTTAGTGTTGTCTGTTTTGAATTCCTCAGTAAGTTGTCACAACCTAAGCCATGGTAAGGCCTGAAGACTCTCCCAAACTACAAGTACTGCTCCCTTTTCTCAGGTGGGGTACTTTTAACATTTGCTCTGCAATTCAAGAGGGAAAAAACATGTTTCAGTCAACATCCACAGTCACAGAGAATGAAATAACCCAAAAAACATTTACAAAAAGCACCCAGAGGTCATTGGATATAAGTGAAGTCATCGCTCAGTGCAACAAACCGTCTCAACGTGTTGTTAGCAGGCAAACGGGACGAAGAAGGTTTACAAGCTAAGATGAGGTCGTGTCATTTTCTTGAGGAAGAGGTTTGATAAGACGTCCTTTAATTTCAATTTTTATTGTAAGGGATCGGAAAGAAATGATTGTGTTAAAATTTAGTGGTGCACAAATTACAACACAAATGAGGCGTCTGCTACAGAAAGTCCAATTTTTGATTTGAAAGGCTAAGTATAGTGGAGAAAAGGTAGACAGTGGTTTGACAGTCGGACAGTCCTCGACAAAAAGGCAGGGGCTGATCAGTCAGGGAAACTAGTTTCACTCAACAACTCTGCCCTGAATTCAGAGGAGAGAAGAAGAAAGTCGGAGAAGAACAACATTAGAGGACAGGAGGGAAAAGAGACATAGTGTATTAAGACCGCCCACATTCTCACTACAATGGCTGAGTGTTGAAAAGACTGTTAGCTGCTAGACCACCGTACACAAGAACACAAAGCAAAGTGAAAGAAGTGACAATGTCAGCTGGGAGGGAATCATGGTCAACGATTCCATCAGAATCTACAGCATAAAAAAAGATTTGATTTCCAAAAATGAAGTCACATTTCAGTGGCTGAATGCAACTCAGCATTATTTTCAAACCTTTACCAGAAAGACAAAATGTGATGCTTTTGTGCTAGGAGTTAGCTTATTTATTTATGTCACTTATTTTAGCTTAGTTTACACATTAGGGGGAAGTCGTTCTCTTAGTAATGCTGCTATAGGCTTAGACCGCTGGTGAAACATTCATGATCACTAGTGTGTGCTGTTGTTGATCCAAAGAGTGGCTAATCTGTATTATTCTTTAAAAAAAAAAAAATATATATATATATTCATGTTTATTTTTTATATATTATACTATTTAATTTAATTTGTATGTAAAATATAGTAGTTTGTATTACTGTTTAAATTCTACTTCCATTCTAGTTTTGAATACCTTAGGATGAATCAACACTTCTACGTGTGTAGAAATCAACTAAAACAAAAAGATAAATATCTTCATTATGTGTTTTTATTTTTGACTAATGGTAGAATTGCAAATTTAGCGTCATAGACTTTTTTAGTGACCTGTAGAAGGTGCGGAGAGATTTTTTCAGTTCTTCAGAGTAGCCATTGTCCTCGACAATATTCATCAGTCTACAGTCCCAGTTGTCAGCTGTAAACTGACTGACTACCCTGTGCTGTGAGACTGCTCCATATATATGTATAAATATATTCTACTACAATGTGAGCAAACTGTAATTCCAATGTACAAAGGACACGTGGACTACTCTCTAAAGAACCTCTGCACCACTCCCCCACTTTAACAATAACAGAACACACTTGGAAAAATCCGTAGAGAACAAACGACAAGAGGAAGTAGGACTGGGAAACAAAGGGGACTGGGGTCTTTTCCAAGAAAAGTAAATGGCTTTACTCTCTGGAAAAGTGAAGGAGAACCTCTTTAAGCAATACAAACGGGAGCAGTGAGGGAAAACTCAAGAGCAAATTTAAACCTAATTGGAATTTTATGTCTCCTGGAGGCAGAGCTTTTTATCACAGTCATAAAGGCACTGGGACTAGAGTCTCTACAGTCCATCTGCTCAGTCTTATTTACAACCTAGACGTAACAATGGAGTCAGAAAATTAACCAGTATCTAGCAGACAATTATATGGACTGTACTGTTACTGTAACAGTTTAGTTACAGATATTATTGAATGGAAGGTTTCGTGGATATTTTATTATTTTTCTTGTCACATTTGTGTGGACCATCTACAACATGTATTAGGGCCACAAAACTGATGTTTCTCTACTGAAGAAAAGTATAACTTCAATTTTTAATGTTGTGAAATGTTAAATGTTTGTAGTTTACGTGAACACTTAACAATAAAGTTATAACAAAAATAACTTAAATGAAGCTTTATGGTTAACTTCTGAAGGATATACTCTGCTCTCCAACACCAATTCAAATGACCAAATACTTTATTTTAACTTGTACAGCTAAGATGGATGTATGTTCTTTGTGGGTTTTTTTTTTTAGTTGTTTTTTTTTGTGTTGGTTTTTTTTAGTACTGGACTTGAGCTAGCAAAAAGTCGTAGTACCAAGTTTGTTCTCTCTCTTTTTGAGTGGGTAGGGTGGGATTGGGTGGGGTTTACACGTACTCCCTGGCTGTGGAAGGCTGTGATTGGCGATAGTATTGCTGTCCTCGAATATCGTCTTTGGAGCAGGAACAACACAGCAGGGCGCCACCCAGTGCTGTCAGACTGGCCGCGGCCCAGCCCACAAACAGGGCTGAGCCAAACTCATACCTGCAAACATAACAAGGAGGAGCAGTTACTGGACAGGAAGCAGTTTTGTGGTAGGGTTGAATACACAGAGGGACTCACTCCATTCAAAGAACAAGTTATTTTGTATGGATATACAAGTTAATCTGTGATTATCACATTAAGGCAACACATTAATTACCACATTTATGTTTTTTATTATTATTATAGTTAGCCTGTTTTTCAGTTCCATAATGCCTGTTTATCAATAAGATAGTTTGGGTTGAGTTTAGGTAAAAGTTGTCGAGTCAGGCAGAACAATTTAATATTTCCACTAGGTGGCGGCAAAGCTGTCTTTCTTCAATTCCTGCAAGTATATCAGCCTTGTATTGAACTAAACAGAACTAAATGGAATAACATACTTTTCTTTTATATCTACCAGCGCTCCATTTGCGATCTACCCTGTGGTAACCTTGTTCTACGGTCAAAAATGTCTTCGATTAACGGCACTGAAAATCGATTTTCATCATAGCACAACATACCTGGCATTAGGTGGCGTATTTGGGTTGAAGAACAGATAAGACACCTGAGTAGCATACCAAGACACAGACACCACAGTACATAGTCCTGTAGAAAAAAAAACTAGTTATTTCAGCAAATGTAAAGTACTGCTCATACTAAATAAGAAAATACTGTCAACCAATGCTAGTGCTTCTGAAATGACCACTTCCTGTTTACAGCAAGGACTCTAATTACACATAAATAGGAAAAAAATATTTTGGTCATAAACACCAAACCACAGCAGGACATTCCTCTTCAACATATTTCCATGTAGAAACCAAATTAATTCTCTGCAGAAATCCCACCTGCAAGCAGGAAGAGGGCGCCGCCGGTCACAGCAATCCGCGTCTTGGTGACTGGGTTGTTATCACCCACCTTGGTGCACTTCATACCGACCACGCTGACGATGATGCCGATGAAGCCCAACAGCACTGACACCACCATTAGAGCTCGGCATGTTTGTATGTGAACTGGACAAGACAAAGGAAAGGCACAAATAAACAGTCGTTACAATAGGGAGAAAAGTAGAAATATTGAGGGTGGGAGGAGGAGGAGGAGGAGGGTGGTAGAGAAGAAGAGAAATTACATAGTCTTTTAGTTCATTCCTTGGAATTAAAGTGGACATTTTCTTGGCATGTGAGTGATATTCATCAGGGGATATGTGGTTTAAACGTCATGTGTGACTGAAGCAAAACCACATGCATTTTTGACCGACCAATCATTAGTCAGAGTTTTCCACAGTCCTTATTTAAACAACAGGGTTCTGACTGTCCAGAGGTGTTTAGGATCTTAATTTACCCTTAAATCACCTCTAAAAAACATTTGAGTGCGGCTTTGCCTTCTAAAAAATCTGAACTGCAGCCCACACTGGCCTCAGCACACACGGCGTAGTGGGGCGGACATATTTACAGATATTTACATACTCATAAACGTGTCTTTCAGTGCACAATATCTACACCACCAAACCATTGCTGTAGGTGTAATATCACAGATTCACA